CACACACACACACACACACACACACACACACACACACACACACACACACACAACATCCTGATGAGTCCGTGTCACTCCATGACTATATAGCCTGAAAAAATAATCCTTTTTTTGTGGAGTTGTGTATAGAAGCATGACAACACACAAAGTCTCGTGTACAGTGAACATGACAAGCCACACTCAGTCTCGTGTATAGCGAACATGACAATACACAACATGGCCTTGTTAAGCTCTCCACTCAGGTGGATTGTTCCGGCCAGAGTCGGCACCATACTAGTGGTCATGCCAGTGGATATTCATGAACGAGTGGGTGTGTAGAGGGGGGGTTTACGGCTGTGACTGGCTAGTTTCTCAGACTTTTGTCAGAGATTTGGACCGACAGTTTGCTAGGATTGCAGAGTTGGTGTGAGTAAAGTTGACGACTTTTCTCAGGGGTATCACTAAGTCTGGGCGGCATGGTGAATGCTTATCCATCAGTCAAATGCATCCTGGGCAGACGGTTGGGGTTCAACCTCCCGTTGAGTCGGTGAAAGTCCGATGAAACAGTCTGGCACAGTAATGCCTTTCTTTTGTGGAGTCGTGGATAGCCAACATGACAACACACATTCTCTGCCACCCTGTCAACTTCGACAAAGGCTATGCTTGCATACAAATGCATGTGCTGAGCCCGCCTAGCTCAATGAAACAACCTTTTACCAAATATGGGACACAACCGTAGGCCTGATGGGTATTGCAAGAGATAGATGGAAGGTCAACATGGCCTGCACAGCCAGAGCTCTAGCAGGCTTACTTTCCTTTCACTCCCTTTTTTAACCAAATCCAATGAGAGTTCCGTGACGAAGCTTGGCGGTAAACTGGAGGCGAGTGCACTTGCAGTGAGCAATGGCAGTTCCTTGAATGGTTCTTCTCCCCCCCCCTCCCCCTTTACAAATCATTTCCAAAAGTATCAATTGAAGAGACGTACTACTGGAACGCAAGGATGCCGCTGACCACTGACGCAGGGGGCAAGGTCCATTGGAAGGGATCCATGTCTTGTGGCTTTTGTGCTTCTCTGTTCTCCCAAACCTATCTTACTGCAGAAAGTATAAGGAAGTAGCATGCCAATCCAGTGCAATGAGAGATCTGCGTGCGGCACACATATGGCTATCTAGTAGGTCATAGGTTACCAAGCTTACCACATGTAGCATTTAGTAGTTACCAACAAGTATATCCGTTATTACACAGAAGGGAGTGGGGCACAAAATACTATGATGACATATGGTTCAAAATCGCTACGACCTTTCCATAATGGCATTCCTTCAACAGTCCTTTTGTGCCCTACAAATCAATCAGAACAAAAATGCAAACAGGCAGAGGTGACTGGGTTAGATGTACCACCTGTCAATGCAGTCAAGAACTAATGATGGCGAAGCATACTTCGCTCGCGCAAGGAAACTTGCAGCATAACCTGCAGCACACATCCTGCCCAACATGCAAAGGCAACAGAAACATCATGCTGACAGTAGAAAAAGAGGAGCTTAAACACATCCTGCCCTACTGCAGCTTTCGTTCAGCGACCGCCGACCGGAAAATTTGACGTACTCAGTTTACAGAACTCTGTCATTATATACAAAGAAAAGCAAAACGGTCGACCATCATTTACCTTGCTTCAATTAAGCCAACGTTATACAGTGGGCACAACACACACTTGTTCTCCATTGGTCACTAAGTCGTGAGACCAAACTTAGGTTTTGAACAATAAGAATGTAAAGAATTGTAGCTCTTTTTGGAAGAAAAAGGGAACAACCACAACCACAACGACAACCACAACCAGAACCACAACAACAATGACAACAACAACGACAAGGACAACAACAACGATAACAACAACGACAACAACAACAATAACCATGATAACAACCGCAACCAACCACAACCACAGCAACAGCGGCAGCAGCAGCACCAACAACAACAACAACAACAACGAAGCAACAACGACGAAGCAACAGCGACAAAGCAACAACGACGAAGCAACAACGACGACGACAACAACCACAACCACAACCACAACCACGACGACAACCACAACCACAGCGATGACACCCGCAACAACCACCACCACACTGACGACAACCACGCCGACGACAACCACACCGACGACAAACACAACGAACAACCACAACGACGACAACCACAATGACAACCACAACGACAACCACCACCAACAATGACAACCAACAACAACAACGAAAACAAACAACAATGACAACAACAACAAACAACAACGACAACAACCACCAGCGACGACAACAACCACCAACAACGACAACCACCACCAACACCAACAGGAACCACCACCAACGAGAACCTGTAATGACCCGCTCGTTATTTCGGCTTAAGTGCCGAATCAGGGGCCAATGGCCACATCAGGCCACAGCGACGGCCTGAACCAAGGCCCGGTGCTGTACGCACCCAACTGAAGCCTGAAAACGGGGCTTCAGAGGCCCTGCGCCCGACAGTTGACTAAAGAAAGTCAACAGTCAACTGTAGCTCCGAAATTGAGGCTCACAGGTCAAAGTGTACATGGACCCAGACGAGGCCATCGATAGGAGGCACACATTTGGGCCGATTTGGCTGTTTGCAGATATCTGTGCAGAATCTGGTCCAAGTGGAAGTCTGCAACTGTATGAAATCCAGGCCATTGCAAGGAAAATGCGCAATAGCAACATGACAGATTCCAGATTGCAAAATCATATTGAAAGCCACGAAGTCCGACACTGTCCAGAAAGCAGAATTGCACCGATATTACACCAATGGAGAACCAAAACACTGAATCTGATTGTCAATGAGAGCATACTCTTGCCATCACCAACATAATTATCCAGAGCCCTTCTCCTACTTGCCGCTCGGCTCCCAGACTACTATCACGCAGCTACTACCAGCCTACGAATTGACAACTGTTGACGCCAGCAGCAGAACAGAAGTACATGAAGAAGTCCACCCTTGTAGACTATCGCCAAGACCAGGTACGTGCCCTCACGTCATCATCCTCGTCTCTCTCTCTTTCCCTCTCCCGCGTCTTCTTGACCCACATCTCCTTCCCATACACGAAGACCACCACCTGCTGACCATCCAAAGCTGAAGCCCGGCTATGAAGGGCTGGGCTATGGCGCTGCCCTCAGCAGCGCCCCGCACCTCACGAGCCCGCGTGCGCCCGCGCGCTTGCACTAGCGCAGCTAGCAGCCCACAGGCAGATGCTCCAGCAGCGCTGCACCCGCAAATGCAACTGCCCGACTGTCGTACCTGGCGCCCGGCCCTTTCCTATATGGAAAGTGGCGGGCGCTTTGCCTTACCCCCCGTCACGTGAGACCGAGTTTCCAGTAGCTTCAGTCTCGGCCAAAGTGTCTGCGCCCCGGCCCGTTCAGACAGTGGCCTGGGACCGAATCGATTAGGCATGCCCAACCACCCAGGCACGAACGTGCGATGTTCCCTGTTTTGGCCAGGTTGAGAATGGCCTGGAAGGCTCACAAATCTTCCCCATTCTCACGTGGAGGGCGGATGTAACCAACTGGCGCGTGGCAACTGTCTAGCGCCGACCACGATTTGCAAAATTGACCGAGTTCAGAGGCCCGCCTTCACTTAGGGCGGGCACGTGCCTGATGCAGGGCCTTATACAGCTATGCCTAGGGATCAAAACCTCGCACCATTGACTGCGGGTCAACCTGAGCCCTAGTATCCGAGAGACCAGAGGCTGGTCAATCTGCATCAACACTACATATTGACCCAGCCCATGCTCATTGATATTCAATCTGGCACGACGCTGGCTGGACGCTGGCTTGACGCTGGTACTATGGTGGCATTGCATGAGACGACGTCGCGAGACTGCTGCATTGCGTTGCTGATGCCTCTCTGTACTTGGTCTCGCTGGAATCTTGTTTGCCGACGTGGCGGTTGCCACATTGTCTTGGACACAGATTGGGGTAACGACAAGGAGGGAGACCAGGGCTGTGAGATTGGTCGTGAGAGAGAGGGAAGCTTACCTGATTGTTGCTGTCGACATTGCGTGCTGCTGTGACATCTTCATGAGATCTGTGCCTATGTGGCACTTTGCTGTCATCGGTTCTTGTCAAGGCTATTCCAAGGATACTGTATGCTGACGCGGACAGAGGGACGGTGCCCGAAGCAGGAGGGGTTAAGAGGGAGATCTATCTGAGATGACATTGACGGGTACCTTCTCTTCCACCCTCTAAGTCTAACCTCCCCCCTATCTACTTCGTCCCTGGTTACGAGACATTGTACTTGGATCACATTCATGATTATTGGAGACTAGATGACCCGTTGCGGCTTCGCCCGCAAAAACAGAAAAAGAAAAAAGCACAAAAGAAAGAAAACGCATAAGGAACTGCCCTATCATATGCCGCTTCTTTCACAATAAGAAAAAGAAGAGCCTGACAGCAGACGAAAACCCGTGTGCAAGAAAATAGCAGGGAATACCACCGAACATTCTTTTTTCTTTATCTCTTTGCGTGTTTTGTTTGGGGAGCTGTTATGTTGCATACCGTATAGATGCAGACCAGAACAAGAACCGACCTATCAATACAAAGTATAAGATAGCACAGCGGAAGACTTAGACACCAATGATCCGAACAATCAATATTGTAATGCAGCACCGAACATACATCATCATCATCATGGTGCGAAGGGGTCTGGCGCTTCACACAAGAAGACTGCGCCAGCCCCAACCATACACAGACGAAGGAGGTGGGGTTAGACAAAGAAGAAGGGAAGATGGGAATGTCGTCAACACCAAGTGTTCAGCACAGGCCCAAACAGTCCCTCGTCAAAATGTCTGAATCCCAATGTCGAGTCTGGATCCAATGTCGTCAAGTCTCATGTCACAACTCTCTCTCTGTAGTAGTCCGCTGATACTGAGAAGCAGGTGGTGAGAGGGGAAGAAGAGATGGTGGACTGAGAAGAAGAGGAAGAAGAAGAAGAAGCAGGTGGTGAGAGGGGAAGAAGAGATGGTGGACTGAGAAGAAGAGGAAGAAGAACTCTCTCTCTCTCTCTCTCTAGTACTAACCTGTGAAGTTGGCGCCTTGATGCAGGTACCTCGAATATGGAGCTGGAGCGATGGCGCCACAGGTACGTACCACTGGCCTCCGCCAGTGTCTCTCCCCACTCTACTACCTACCACCTACAGCGCCCAGCGCTGGAGACTACTGCTATGGCTATGGCGCCCAGCGCCGAAGACTACAGCTAGCGCTACTACTACTGCCTAGCGCTCAAGACTACTGCAGCGCTCCTCCTGAGTGCTGCGGCCAAAATCTGAAGACTACCGTCCTACTCTCCAACTGCCTACCCGTTCAGTGCCTGAAGCTCCTATGTACTATCACGGGTGCCTCCTGACTCGGGCGAGCAGTCCAGGAGGCTGCTCTTGCCAATAATGCCGAAGGGAGGCAGGGGCTGCAGCTGCAGCTCCTGCTCG